CTCTTTAAAAAAAAAAAAAAGAGAGAGGGAGAACCAGGATGAATAAAGCCCTTTAGATGAAGCGTTTCCAATACTACTTCAGATACATATATGATCCTTATTTATATTAAGGTCTCAAAAACCACAAGCAAAGCAGGCAGGTGGCATGGTGGTTGAAGGCGCTGGATTCCCACATGGCCAACCATGATTTGAGTCCTGAACCTGGTGGCTTGCTTTCTCCCTTTTCCTTTGTCTTTCTCTCCTCTCTCTGGTCAAATTAAAGAATAATAACAAGTGGAATTAAATAAAATAAATAATTCTAAAGAAAAACACAGACACGTGCGAACACACACACACACCCACACACACCCACAGCCACAAGCACAATTTAGAGTTAGATCTGAGTTTGAAAGCTGGCTGAGCCTCTTACCAGCCAGACAAATTTAGACAAGTTTCTTATATTCCACAGCTAATACTATCCACCTTATAGCTGTAATAAGGGTTATATTAAAGGCAATATAACTTATAAATAAAAAAAGAGCCTCTAGCAGAGTGTCTGACATGTGTGTAGAGGATACCTGCTACCAAGAAAGCAGAAGCAAAGTCTCGAGCACTGTTGACTTGGAGATGCCGTCTGAAAACAAGTGCACACCCATGCCCTCACGTACATCCTCATGCACATTCACACACACTCATTTGAGAGATTTTTGCTGGATGGCCTGTGTGCTTGCTGGAGAGACAGAGAGACAGAAAGCAAGAAATCACCCTCCAAGGGGGATGGCCATGCCACAATGCCCTCTCATCCATTATCCTCTAGGAATCTTGAGCACACACACACACACACACACACACACACACGCACACATACACGCAGTGTGAGTCTCAAGTTGCTGGGTTTGGGACTTGAGCTGTGGTCGACCACGTAGGGGGTCCAGCAACACAACCATTATGCCATCAGCTGGTCCCTACATATGCTTTTTATATCTTATCTTCCATATAAAATTACTCATGTAAGAGTGGAAACTACGATTCAGTTTTATAACTTCCATAGCCCAATTTAATGCATGGCACACAGTCGGTGCTGGATAAATACACCTACTACACATCCTAAGTTTCACAGGGCTAAGCAATGGCAATGTTCATACAGTCGACAGCCTTAACTACACTACGATCGCTAATGCTAACATTTAATTTAAAGCTCATGAATGAGACACCAAATATAACAGGAAAGAATTTAATTAACTGAGTAACTTAAAAGACAGTCTAAGTGACTATCTGTAATAAAAACCAAGAATGTCCAAATGATTAATTTATTAACAACTTCTAAACTGTGTAAAATTTGGGTAAGAGACAACTGATGGGAGAGAAGATATTATATAAAAAGTAAGGACTTTGAGTCTTTTAGCTCAAAATGCAAAATAGGGGCCAGCTACTGGCTCAATGGTAACAATGTGCTCTATCATGCTAGACCCACATGGGAAGATCCCAGGCTCATACCTAGAAGCAGCATGGCCACCTCCCCTGGGGGTGATTTCTCACTTTCTGTCTCTGTCTCTCTTTGTCTTTTTGGCAAGCGCACGTGCCCTATAGCAAAAACCTCTCAAAATTTTTTTTCTGCTCATGAAGGATACTATTAAGAAAAGAAACAGGCATACAGTACACATATCTGAAGGTCCAAAATTTATACAGCACTCAACGAAAAAGACATCCTAATAAAATAAACTTGAACAGATACTTCATAAAAGAAAATTTACAAATGAAAAATAAGTAAATGAAAAGGTGGTTATCAGAGAAATGTCAATTTAAAACCACAATGAAATATCCAGCCCAGATGTCTGCCAAGGAGAATGATAAAGATAAGGAGGGCTACTACCTGGAATACTATGGAGAGTAATGCAATCAAATAGGGATTTGGAAAAGCCAAAAACAGCATTAAGCAATCTCTAAAAGGTTTCAGAACATGAAAAAAAGAAGGGGAACTTAAAGCTCTAAAATAATAATTAAGATAACTTCCTCATTAACAAAACTTTCTAGAAATAATGAACAGACATACATTGTAGACCTGTATCCAGAATGTAGGTACAAGAAATTATTGCAAAAAAATTTATTAATTCTATTCTTGGATTATATCTCATCTTTTTTTTTTTTTTTTGAGAGGTTTTTTGCTATAGGGTGCGTGCGCTCGCCAGACAGACAGAGACAGAGAGACAGAAAGCGAGAAATCACCCCCCCAGGGGGGATGGTCATGCCGCAATCCCTTTTCCTCCATTCTCCTCTCAGGATCTTGGGCACGCACGCACATGCGCCCGGCGTGAGTTTTAAGCCACCGGGTCCGGGACGCGAACCGCAGTCGACTATGTGGGAGTCCAGCGACATAGCCATTAAGCTAACTGCTGGTTCCCTGATTATATTTCATCTTGAACTAAATATTTACTGCTAAAGAAGAGTTCTTGTTTGCTTTTTTAATTGCCAGAGGGTGGGTGCACCAGCTAGAGAGAGACAGAGTGGGAGGTAGAGAGAGGGAACCAATATAGCATGGTTCCACTGCAATCTCTTCTCCATTTTTCCATTCTGTAAATATTTGGGGCACACATGCACATGTTTTTCAAGCCTCCTAGGTCTGGAATTTGAACTGTATTCTGACATGTGGGGTCTGGCTCCACTAAGCAATAAACTCAGCTCATCATGAGGTTGTTGTTGTTTTTTTTTTTTTTTAAATATCAGATGAATTCACTCTAAGAATTCTCTAAAACAATAATGCAAGCTCTGAAATATGCTGGGAATGATAGACAAGCAGGAAGGTTAAAAAACTGGATTAAGACAAGTCAGCCTACAGCCTTGAAAAACATTCCAGGCA